AAAAAAAAAATGGATACCAAACGGGGGCTAAAATTCAAATTTGAATCTAAGTCAAAGTCAACGATTAATTTTAACTAAATATTTTATTGAATCCACAACTTACGATTAATCAATTTTTATCAAAATATACTAAAAATCTAATTTTAATCCTTACAAAACAAAGGTTTAAAACAAAGTTAAGAAACAAATATGTAAATAATTACAATATTTTAAACTCTTTAATTTTTTTTTTAAATTATTAAGAAATATATTCACAGTCTACCTTTTATATATCATAATAATGTTCCACAATCCCATCATTAACACTATAATTCATCATGGTCTTTGATATTTCACGAGTGTTTTTTACTTCGAACTACAAATTCGATAGGACTTCACACCTCACAATATTAAAATTTCATATATATTATTCAATCTCGTTTAGCTCTGGTTATTAAAATATGTTGAAGTCTATCTAAATTGATTACAACCTGGGATTTCAAACTTCAAAAGAAAATGGGAAAAATACAAGAAAGAACAGTTTTAGGATTAGAGGGTGGTCGTAATGGTTGTAACAGGCTGTCCTTTTACTACATCAAAACTCCAATGCACCTTTACATCGTCAATTATCCTAAAAGAAAGAGACTTCTTTTACCATATATATATATATTTTCGTAACTTTGAAACGTGATTTTAATTTCAAGTGTTGATGGTTTTTTAGATTCAAAATTTTGCTTACAGACAGTTAAGACAATTTCCAAAGACAAAGAAATTAAAAGAAAAGAGGCTTCGAGACTTGACTTGTAGGTTTTTTATCTATCAAAAGATGTAGAAGAAAGGGAAACAAAACAAAACATGTAATCCACTAGGGTTCACATCAATTTGACTTGGTGTAATTGATTGATCAGACTACCCAACTAGTACGATGGAAACAAAGAACTTTAAAATATTCAATTTATGCTTTTCAATTCTTGAAAAGGGCTTTTGAAAAAAATTCACCAATGTAAAGTAAAAGTTATGTAAAGTAAAAGCTATTTTCCATTCGAGACGTTTTTCGCATAAAACCTTTTTTTCCTCGTGCAAGCTTCATGAGATCTTTGTAATTCAATCTTTGTAAGGTGGATTATACACCTCAAATGTAAACAAATAGTTTTCGACCTCAGGTAATTCATCGAATAAGGAATCTAAATAGCTTATTGTAACTCAATCAAGTTTATAACTCAAATAACTTGCTTGAAAAGTTAGGATTTCCTCACATATAAAGGTTACAATCATGCTACAGTGACTGAAAATGATTGACAGAAGAAGTGATCGACCCTCACAATAGCGGAGCCTACTTTTTATTTTGGACCTTTTTTATTCATACGGGACCCATGTGTATGTGAGAGGATATCAAGAATTTGATCATCCATTTTTCGGGCAAAGTAGTTTAATTCTAAATATTATTATAATTCGTATGTTTAGTGCCATATATAATCTTGAAAATAAGGCAAAAAGTTCAACAAAATGTTGCCTTAAAGCTGTGATCAGAAATATATCGCCGATCTTACTCAATTGTGTCCATCTTAATCAATGGGTCCCATGACTACTCAGTGCAAGACAACTATAATATATTTGTTTTCACTAAGAAATGAGAATCACATGTTTTTCGATAGAATTGTCCGTTGATGACATGATCAAAGTACTCGATTATAACCTAACGTGCTGTTTTAATGACTTGCTCTACTTATGAAGCCCTCGTTGCCTATTATTTGAAAAGTTAAAGAATTTTAAATAGTATGTTTTGAAAAATGGATAGTTAAAAAGTAAAGAAATTTTATTGATTTGTGTGTAGAATATTTTACTGTGTGAACGTATGGTGAAAAATGATACTATAAGAAATAATTTAAAATTTTAAAGGGTGCCAAACAATCATTAATGGTGCGTTTGATTGTCAATATTTTTTATAAGAAATGTGTTCTTTTCACTCAAATTCTTACTTTGTATCGTTTGATTGACATTTTTTCATGGAAAACATTTGTCTACTTTTGATTATATGACCATATTTTCCTCAAAATCAAGGAAAATATTTTCTTTTGAGGAAGTAGGATTTTATTTTCCATAGAATTCACTCTCCCTTTCTCTCACATCTATTCACACTCTTTTATCTACCTACCAATAAAAATGGACATATATAGGGATTGTTTGAGTCACATTATTTTTAAAAAATACATTCTTCAACAGTGATTTAACATCATTTTAATCACATTCTTCAATAAAATAATATTACACGCAAATCTAAAAAATTTTCTTATTTTTTAGCAACACATTTTCCATTGATTTAACATGATAATGCATTTTTCCCTAGAATGTGACTTAAACATGGGCATAATATTTTCTAAGTTAAAAATTAAATCAATCAAACACATTTAATCGACAATTTTCATACAAATAAGTTTTAGACAATTGAATATTTGGATTGTCTAGAATTTATTTTCTTTTCATGAAAATTTCATGCTTGTAATTAAACGCACTCTAAGTGATTAATGAAAATAATAGGTCTTATTAATTCAATGCTTGCCTTCCACTCTTATTTTTCCCGTGATTATCATTTAAAAAAAAAAATCTCATCTAAAATGTTAAATTGCTTAAAAGACGGTGAGTATTTATTG